AGAGGGCAGCTTTTTTTTTTTTTTTTTATTGTTTGATGGTGTTGTGTGTGAAGAAATTTGGGAACCAAAATCATCCAAACCAGATTTTGTAGCTTAACTTTTTACAAACATGTAATCTTTTGATACCAAAATAACTCCTCATTAGTCTTCAAGCTCATGAGTGCTATTTTGATATATACCTATAATCTTCTATCTTCTCATTTTTAAGTCAATTTAGATGGCTGTGAAAAATTATAAACCACCCATTTAATTTCATTTCCAATCTTACCCTTTATGTGACATTAGTGGCCATTACCCAAATATTTTTATTATCCTATATCAATATGTATACATACATATATATATATATATGTATATGTATACACACACACACACAAAATACCCCTTTAATTTCCCTTTTCAACCAAAATTTGGAGAAGGAATTTTTTTTTTTTTGTACAATAACTTTATATATATATATATAAAACAACATATTAGTTTAATAATTAAAATATTAATATTTTATTTATAAATTACGAATTTAAATTTTATTGAACATGTAAAAATTTATTATTTTGTAGGTTTATTGAACATATAAAATCATGACTTGAGTTGAATAATGTTTTATAGAACTATGTCCAGTTTGAGTTACCCATGAGTTTAAGATATCAAGTTCGGTCAATAATTGTGTTTTAAAATTAATTCCTAGTTAAATTCATGAGTGACCATTACCAAAATATTTTTATTTTCCTATATCACTATATATATATATGTATGTAATACTCCTTTTAATTTAAATCCTTTTTCAACCAAAATTTGGAGAAGGAACTATTTTTGTACAATAACTTTATCAAAAGTAACCAATAATATATTAGTTTAATAGTTAAAATTTTTATATTTTATTTAAAAGTCACGAATTTGAATTTTATTGAGCATGTAAAACTCATTATTTTGTAGGCGTATTATAAACTAATAGTGGTCAATTTATAATGTTTGATTATAAATGTCCGAAAAGGAATATATATTAATAGCATAAATAAATAATAATTAGGGTTTAGATTCCTTACACAATAATTTGGGTTGTCTAATAGAATTACGGAAATGTCCCTAAAAAAAGTTAAAATAATAAAAACAGAAATAAAGTTAAAATTATATGAGGTTAACCTCAACTGACAACTTTGATGGAGTTTAGGAGTTAATCTTTAATTGCAACCCTCCTGGAGTTTAGGAGTTAATCTTTAATTGCAATCCTAATTGCAATCCTCCTGATGTTCAGGATCTAAATTCTAATTTTATTGATATGAAATTGTTAAATAGGGGTTGAATTATACTAGTTTAGTAAGAATATCACACTAATAACTGATACGGAAAACCAAAGGTTGGTAAAAATTATAAAACAACTAATAGAACTATTTGCTTTCTTAAATAAATTCATTTAACATAAAATCATTTATTTTATACTTACCGTTACGAGTTTTCAAAATCGATCTATAAGGACAATAATTCAAATAACATTATAATTTCATATACAAATGAGTAGAAACAACAACTTTCCTTTTTATTTGCTTATTGGTACCTCTAAGGGTACATAGGAATGTCCCTCCTATCCGTGAACCCAATATCTAAATTTGTTAATCAATCGGCTGTCCCCATATCTTGTCCGGTAATGGGTACCAAACATACCATCGTCTTGATACCTCATCCGGTATGAGGGTAAATCATATTTCCTAAACCCTTTCGATATGGGACTTCACAGTCTCGTCAAT